TATGAATTTATTTTTCTCTGAATTATAATGAAGTTTAAAGCCATGTCTATAGTAAGGATCTCTGCCGTGTATATTAAAGCAGCTCCTTGTAGGTGCATCATTAATCCATGAATACGTTTCTTTTGCCAGTAGACCACCATTACTATAGACGTTGAATTTTCCCTTTTTGATCCATCCGTATATATTTGAACAAAGTTTAAATTGTTATTAATTTTTTTTAACTAAGGTTTTTGCTATTTTTACATTCCTGTTATTGACGTATCAATTTCTGGGTGCTTTAGTAACCAATGAGGAATTAAAGTAAAGAAAGTTAATTTAAGGCTAATTTTTGGTGTTTTAAACTTATTGGCATTTCTCCTGCCAAAACATGGAGACTTATGGATGTGATGCTCTGTATGCTCCTGGAACCTTCGTTGACTATTGGGTGTAGAATCTTCATGTAGGATTTTCGTGTAGAGCCATATACTAGAGAACCATAATCTAATACTCCTCGTATAGTTGCTTGGAAAATTGTTATAATATATATATAATTTAATTTTGAGTCAAATTTTATTCCTAAATATTTGTATTCTTGTGAAAACTCAAGATTATTTCCTTGAAAATTTAACTTCGGAAAAATCCTCTTTTGGTTTCTTGAGAAAAGTATAGCTCTAGACTTTGATTCAGAAAATTTTATTCCATTTTTCAGTGCCCTTTTTTCAATGGATTTTAGCGTTGTTTATTTCATTCTGCATTTTTATCATGTCTTTATTTCTAAAAGTGATTGTGACATCATCTATGTAAAAACAGATAATCGTGTTTTTATGAATTATTACGGTGATATTATCTGAGCTAAGACAGAATAACTTTGGTGACAACATGCTGCTTTGAGGATTACCCAACTTTGGATGCATTGTTTCTGAAAGGACATTATTGACCTTGACTTTAAATGACCGGTTTGATAAAAAACATTGAATGAATTTGGGAAGACGTCCTCTTAATCCGGATTCATGTATTTTTTTAGGATACCATTTTTCCAAGTTGTGTCATAGGCCTTTTCAATGTCAAAGAACAGAGTTTTAACATCTTATAGGTAACTTGATCAGGACCAGGAGTTGATTACAGTAAATGTTGGTCGGTTAAGTGGCATGAATTATTAATCAGTTTATACAAAATACTATTTTATATTCATACAGCTACGTCCAAAACTAACACAACAGGTGACATGGCATGAAGATCCAATTAAGGTACCTCGACTTA